CACAAGGGCAGAAAGCTGAAGCCACACACAGCATGGGGCTGAAGCCCGGAGCCCTGCCACCCAGGGCTGAAGCAGAAGCCTGAGAAACTTAGCTTCTTGGTGCCCCCTGTGGTTTGGGGGCCCAAGCAATTGCCCCGCTTGCTAGCCCTTAATGCCGGCCCTGGCTTTTATATGCAGAAAACCAGATGATGTGGCACAGGTGGACTGTGGAGTTTTTATAGCATGTCGGGGGGGCTCAGAAAGAAAAAGGTTGAGAACCCCAGGTTTATTTTACACTTCTAAGTGTTTTCTGAATTCTTTGCGTATGAAATATTGCCCATCTTTAATAAGTTTGGGCACAAAATGAAATTTCAGACATCCGATTCAGAGATCAGAGAAGCTAAAGCATTTAATCCAAATAACTCATTTGCAATGACAGTAAGATACAGAAGCAGTGCTAGAAAAGCAAATAATGCCACACAGAACAAGCAATACCCTGCCAAGAGCATAAACAGTTTTCTCTGGGTAACTTAAGACTACTGACACAGCATAGGTGAAAAGAATTTATATCTATGCTCTTGACCTATGTATGTACCCCTAACAACAGGAACTCCCAATATGAATACATTCAGAGGAGTACAGAGAAAAGATCTCTCTCTATTTTAACATGAGAAAGGAAATTCCTGTGGAGGCAAGATACTTGGAAGCTGACCTTTTAATATCTGATTTACTTGTATTAATCAGCACTGTACTGCTTCCTTTCTTCTTATCTATCATAAAAAGTACTCAACGGCTGAGCCATGGCTTCTTGATTCAAAGGTTAATTTGATTCAGTCTTTGTTTTAAATCTTTGCTGTTTCCAAAGGTGTGTCTGTTATTAAGGAAGGGATCAAGTGACTGAAGGCTAGGTCATTTCACGGCTTTTGACCGACACCACTAAGAAGGCTGGGGAACACAGAAGTACAGTAAATCCCCAGATCTTACTGAAAGGTGTTGGAATGAGTAGCACGAACAACCTTCATCAGACAGACAGGAACCTGTTTTTGTCATCAGATAGACCTTTACCAATAGAAATACTGTCTGTAATTTCAGTTATAGAAAGTTCATTTAAGACAAGCCCTCGGAGGTATGCTTTTTTTTAAACAGTTAAAACAACAAAGCTTCATTTAAAGACTCTAAATAGCCAAGAGACTTTAAACAACAAATCTATACTGAGCACACATGGCATCTCTTTAACCATTTGTATATTCAAGAGAATCAACCCGTGTGAAAGGCTGCTGGCTGACTGAGTCTGATCACTTGATGTGCTTCAAGATGAAATAGAGTTAAATTGTGTCTATTTTCTGGATCAGGTCTTCAGAAACCCAAAAAATGACATTCAGGAAGGGTAGGAGATAGAAGGAAAAATGTTACTTCAGTATTGCAACTGTTCCAGAGTTTAATTTAATATTAAGGTCTACCCCGATTCCTGAATTGTTTAAGTTTTGCAGTCACCCTCAGTTAAAGAAGGCAAGCTTTTAATATCCAGCTTGCTGAATTTATTAAAGTTCTATTTACCCAAATCTCCAGCTAATATTCTTAACTACAGATACGGCTTGTTCACTTGCTCAGTATAGCTCTCTCAAATCATGCTCCCTTAGGCACTCTGAAGCTGCAAAACCAAGTGAGAGATTGAAGATAACAAGCTGAACTATTTCTGTTTTTCTTCTGTAGGCATTGCCACTCCAATCCCGATCAGAGGTATAGAGGATGGAGACGGCAGCTCCACAAACATCACATGTGCCCTGACACCCGATCGTTTTCGTGACTTCATCCTATACGGGTCGCTAGCTTCATTCTTTGTTCCGCTTGCAATTATGATAGTCACTTACTTTCTGACCATACAAGTGCTTCGTAAGAAGGCCTACTTGATCAACAAGCCACCTCAGCGCCTAACGTGGTCTACCGTGTCTACAGTATTCCAACGGGATGTAACACCCAGCTCATCACCTGAAAAGGTGGCCATGTTAGATGGCTCCAGAAAGGACAAGGTTATGCCCAGCACAAACGAAGAGATATTCATACGCAGAATGTCCACTGCTGGAAAGAAGTCTGTGCAGAACATCAGCAATGAACAAAGGGCCTCAAAAGTCCTTGGGATTGTATTTTTTCTTTTCTTGTTGATGTGGTGCCCATTCTTTATAACAAACATAACTTCAGTTCTGTGTGACTCCTGTAGCCAGGAAGTTATTCAAAGGCTCATGGAGATATTTGTTTGGATAGGATATGTATCCTCAGGGGTGAACCCTCTAGTCTACACGCTCTTCAACAAGACATTCAGGGAGGCATTTGGCAGGTACATCACCTGCAATTATCGGACCGCAAAGCCAATGAAGGCCCTTCGGAAATGCTCTAGCAGGATCTCCTTCAGAAATTCAATGGCAGAAAACTCCAAACTCTTTATGATGCATGGGATGCGAAATGGGATTAGTCCCGTTATGTACCAGAGCCCTATGAGGCTTCATAGCTCACCAATCCAGTCATCGTCAGCCATTCTGTTGGACACATTGCTGCTCACAGAGAATGAGGTTGATAAAACAGAAGAACAAGTGAGCTATGTATAATGGAATGAAAACCAAGTTCACAACTAATTATACAACTATGTATTGTACGTAAATATGCTATATGAGGATATAAATATTATTGTCTGTTATTTATAACAAGCAAAACCTTACTGAAGCTATATTCTATTAATTCATCTCCTCTAAAACTATGGTTCCTTTATCTAGGATCTCCTCTACTTTACCAATTTAAACACAAATATCCCACTGAAGTAATAGCAATTTCATTCAGTTATAAATAGTGAATATCAGAGCACTGTAGTTTAGAAGCGGAGGGGTATAAATAAAAGAAGCTAAGGCAACTCTTGCGTGTGTGACTTTAGTTTTCCATTATCTCCAGCCTTTTCAAAGTACCATTTCTATGAAGACACACTTGTATATAAACACTACTTTAATGCTCTCCTTGATCTTATGCTTAAAGCAGACAGGACTCATATAGGCTGGTATTCTGCCCAAGACAGAAGGGATGAAACAACCAAGTGCACATATGCTTGTTGAAATGCCAAAGTTTTGATTTAAACATGTGTAGAGTATACAGAACATATGACTTTAGGATAGCACACAAGGGATCAGTAGAGTTTTTTATTGGATACTCTGTTGATTCTTTGTATCAAACTATGAGATAACACTGTCCAACAGCAGTAACCCACACTTGGTTTCCTACTCACTCCTATTGTGCTGTGGGGAAAGGGTGCCATAGGAAAATCGACTGGTATCAGAGAGAAATTTTCCCTTGCCCATTCTCCAGGGAGCAACCCTGTCCTTGCCAGTACAATGAGATGGAAATTCCACATGCTGAAATCGCCCCCATGTGTTGTTTTCTGCATAGGGGAAAATCTCTTACCTTATTGAATTCTTTTTCCCTCTGCGGCTCTCACACATGGGCTTATTATTTTCAGGTTACTCATGAATATTGAGCTGTTAGTTTATTTTACCGGAAGAAAAGCTGAGGCATTTATTGGATGTAAGAAGGATGGCATGGCACTTTTCTACTTTATGTGAGCAGCAGGAAGTCAAGAATCTGAGAATGTCTCTTACAGTTACCTCAGTTATAACTGATTTAATAGGCCAAATTCTCTTTTTTGCTCACTGTTAATGAATTAAATCCCCTTCCCTGGCCCAAAATTTACACAGTCACCAAATGAAAAGATAGCAAAGCCTTTTGTCACATACACTGGAAGGTGTGCTGATGGGGATCCTTTTAACCCCTAGGCATGAAATCCTAGCCTCCATGAAGGCGATGGAGATCTGCCACTGGCTTCAAGGAGCCAAGATTTCAGTCTGAATACACAAGATATACCAAACTGATTCTAGATTTTTGCTAAAATGTGCCCATCAGGAATTTCATTGCCTTAACTGGTGTCAGATGGCCTTGGGACAAGCAGACATCGAACGATATAATTGAAATCAACATTGATCAGTTCCAACTACTAGATCAGACAGGGTTCTTTTCAATGGGCGGAGAAGAGGAGTAGAAACAAGATTCAACACATACTTGGCCATCTATCCTGAACATTTATGCTTTCCCAGTCTCAAAGAATGCCTAAAATATTTTCAGAATGTCAAACAAGTTATGCATGCTAATTTGTAACTCTGTCACTCATCTTTTATGTAAATATTTATTTTACAATATTGCCATAAAAACAAACAAGATTTACCAACTGTCTAACGATGGTTAGGGTTTCCTGAAAATCCAGTGTTTTGGTGGCTTCAGCCTTCACCTCCTCAGATAAAGTTTGTGAAACTGTGGTCTGCTAAGAAAGCATGTTTTAAAATGGTTTGTACCAAGAGAGCAGATAACAGTAACTTGGTAACCAAACTAAGAGTAATTAATGATGCTGATAACTTCGGCCCTGACCAGCTACAGGTATCTTCAGATTCTATCCTGTTTCTTTTTGTTTTGTTTTTGTTTTAAAGAGCAGGAAGAAGAGGCGTTCTTAAAATTAAGATCAAACAGCTATAGGGAACTATGAAACCTAAAACTAGTAAAGCAGTCTTTACTCTGTCTGGAATGTGATCTAACCACAGCCTCTTCCTTCAGCTTTGATGCAGTTATTGCTTTCAGCCTCATACCCCAGGGTACACCAGTGTGCATTAATGATGATAATGCACTCACAAACGTATGAACATTTATTACCAGGGAAATAAAGCAGGGTGAAACTCAAGGCACTTAGACTTTTAATGCCTTAATTTATCAAAAGGAGAGAATAATGTTACTTTGTATTTATACAGCAACTGTCATCAGAGGATGGCAACACCCTATAAGATAGGGATGAAGTCACTTTCGTAGGAACAGGAAATTAGGGAGCTGAGAGCAAGTGACTTTCTTAAAAACAGAGTGAGTCAGTGGCAGAGTATGAAAGAAAACCCCAAAGCCTCCTGATTTCCAGCGTCCTGCTTGAATGACTGAGCCTTGCCTTGACAAGGGAAGATAGCAATGGTGGGATTTTTATTTTTTTGGCATAATGCCAGTTTAGCTCCTTCAGAGTAAGTAACACTGGGAGCGCTAATGAAATTGGACAACTTGGTGGTGTTTTAGGGCTCATTCCTACACCCTTCCAAGCCAGTGGGAGTGTTGCCATCGACTTCAATGGGTGCAGGAACAGGCCCCTTGGATGTTACCAACGTGACACTGTTCTGATCAGGTTCAGATGACATGGAGTTTAAAATGGTGTCAGCAGCCAGTAGCCTACCTACACATCGGCTCTCAAAGCTGATACCAACAAAGGACCTACCAGGACATTTCCACATCAGCTAGACCTGTACGTTAATGCACTTCAACTGAATTAGAAAGAGTTACAGATTCTTAATTAAAATTAAAGAATCGGAAAGAATTTACATCTAACAACTTTCTGCAGTCTTTGCAACACAATCATCTATGACACAAAGCTACAAATATGTGCTGCTAAAGGAAAGGGAGTCCCTTTATCTCTCCCAACAAGCTGTAAAAACCTAACGCAATGACTACTGCAGATCCGGGGGCTCAAAAACTTCTGACAGTTCCAGAGGATTACATCACTGTTTCTTCTTGGGAAGAAAATCATATTTCCCAAAGCTATTTTAATTCTTACAGTCTGCAGTCACTTATCTTTTCACAGTTTTCATTTCTAATCTGTATCAGCTTCAGCACAAAGCTCCCCCCACCCTTCTTTAAGCTTTTAAAGCTCCTTTTTAAAGCTAATAAAGCCTATGCAGCAAAATTATTTGTTTATCTACAGAATGGAGAGCACTAAAGATAACATGGCCTTCCCAATACATTTTACATAAAAGAGAACCTGAAGTAACAATGCCAAAGAATTCCAGGAAAGGGATTTAAAACATGTTTCGTTGGTAGTTATATTCCATTACATTTTTCCTCTCCCCCCGCACCTCATTAAGCATTGAAAAAAAATAAACAAACATTGGAATCTTTTTCTACTAGTCAAAATTTCTGCTCAATACCTCTGTCATCAGAAAGCCCAGTAGTAATGGGTTGTTACAGCTGTGAATAGCAGCCAAACTTTCAGGGAGAACAACTGATAATCGAAAGCCTCAATTCGATCTGCATTATCTTAAACTAAATTTTTCTTCTAAAAATATTTTGAAGGGCAACAAAAATATTCAACCAACTTCACCTGCACATTATCACCCAAGTTATAAGGAGGATGCTCTGAAACCACAAGTGTGTTCAAATTCATATTTGCAGTGTTCTGGTAGCTGTGTTGGTCGCAGGATATTAGAGACACAAGGTAAGTGAGGTAATGTCTTTTATTGGACCACCTTCTGCTGGTGAAAGAGACAGCATTTGAGGTAGACAGAGCTCCTCTTTGGGTCAAATTCATAGGTGGTCTGATCACAGCAGACCAGTAAATGTGTTAGAACAATTTGCAATCAAAGCAATATCAACCTTCGTGAAGGGGGAATATTTAAGATGACAAACTAACCCAGCACACAGTTCACTTTGGATTGTCTAGCACCATAATAGTGCCAAGAGACTACATTTCTGAGGAGCAGAGCATGGGTTCATACAAATTAGCGAGTCATAAAAAACGGTCATATAGCAGACAATTGCATCCATCCTCATGCTGAACATGTGTATCAGGTAAAATTCTCACCCTTCTTCAGGAACTGTTCTAGATTTAAAAAACAAAAAACAAACAAACCAAACCAACAAACAAAAACAGCTCTCTAATGTGCTTCTGATGAAAGCTATCGGATGCCTAAGCAAAGCAAGTGATTTATTTATTCACATATACCCTGTCTTGGGAAGGAAAAGCAGTATTAGCAATGAAAGGATACAGCAAAAGCCCAGGCAGCAGTAATAGAAGTTTCTCCTCTCACTCCACCAACCAACTCAACTGTGGCCTAGGATGGAGCACCCTGAAGGAGCAAAAGGTAATTTAGCTCATCGGCTGCCTCAGCAACAACTTTGGTAGAGCTGACAGTCTGTAATAAGAATCCCAAGTCAAAATCCAGTTTGTGTCCCAGTCCTAGTGTGTCCCAGGGGATGACTTCTGTGAGAGTAACAGCAGAAAACAACCCCTGAACAGGCTTTCATGAGCAACTGCCTCACTCAAGCAAACATGTATTTCACCAAACCCTCTTTCATCCAGCAAGTAGTCATCTAAATTTAATTGCCAAGGTCTATGTACATCAATAGAAACTCCTATCAGCTGTCCCAGTTACCCAATTTAGACACTGAGCAAGGATACCTCAGTCATGTCACAATCCATATCGAGGAAGAGATTGTGTAAGACTAGATTTTAACCTGAAAAATCCAGAAAGGAAAACCAGGCTAGTTAGAGACGCGCATGCTTCTATGTAGAGACAAACATCTTGGTGAGAGGGCAATTCACAACAGGGTATGTTCTTCACTGCAATTAAAAACCCATGGCTGGCCCATACCAGCTGACTCGGGCTTGTGGGGCTTGGGTTAAGGGGCTGTTTTCATTGTGGTATAGAGATTTGGTCTTGGGCTGGAGCCCAGGCTCTAGGATCCTGCGAGGTGCGGAGGTCCCAGAGTATGGGCTGCAGCCTGAGCCCGAACATCAACCCTGCAATTAAACAGCCCTTTAGCCCAAGCCCCGTGGGCCAGCCGCAGGTTTCTAGCTGCAGGGCAGACATACCCAAAAAGTGTGGTTATGAGCGGGGGGGAGGATAAGAAGAGGAAGACCGGGATAGGGAATTTAAAAAAAAAATACATACTGGACAGAAGAGTCCTCATTTTAGCAACAATATCTACAAGACTACAGAAGAACTAAAACAAATTACCTCCATTAATAAGAGGCGCTCTGATATGAAGGAACTGCTGCAAGTTACTGTTGGAGGGTAAGCAATTGGTTATACAGCAGCTAAATATTACACTGTGCAGGGCGCAGAAAAGTCAGATGAATAGACATTCCAGCTGCTAGCATCAGCATGAAGTAGAATAAACTTGTTTGGAAAATAATCCTTTTGCTGTCATTGCACATTTCCTTTTAGCTACACTTCCAAGTGAGAAAGCTTTGCAATTCTCAACTTCTAGTATATATAGGTATCTGCATAAACAAAAATGATTTATAAACGTTTATAATGCAGTTAATCACTCACCAGCAAAACTCAAGCCCTTTTTTGGATGAAAAGTACACTCTTTGTTTAATAAAAAATGTTAAAAAAAAATCCATTTAACCCTTAAGGTCTGAAATCTACACAAGTACCAAAAAAATAATAATCAGTGTTTGGGCTGCAGTTCTCTTAATTCTTATAGAATATGGGCCGTGTTGTGCTAAATCAACCATCTGGAAACTCCCATAGGTCCCAGGTACAAAATAGAATATTAAATTATGCAATTCCCAGTTTGCTTGATTTTTTCTTTGTTACAGAAACTCAGATTTGGTAGTTGAATTGTCTTTTTAAGTTACGAGACAAGATGAAAACTCCTTAAAACTGAGTTAATATACACACTGGCATGGGACAGAACGGTTCCTTCAGAACGGTTATGCTTGATCATACGGTTGTTTATTTCTTCCAATTTTTAAAATATATCTACAGATGCTTATCTACTGCTCTGGCTGCATATCCCGCAAGTCAAAATTACAACATAAACAGAGACAAAAGGACTGCTCATAAAAACATCCACCTCCACTCACACCCTCCTCGACAGCCTTAACAAAGAGGGAGGAATTATGAGCTTTGCAGCATGTTCAGCGGTTAACAAATCTGGGATCTTGCAGACCAAGTGGGGGGAGTAGGTTTGAAACTCAAGGCACACCCTCTACCCCCAGAAGACAATGCCCTCCCAGCAGCTCTGCTGATCTCCCTTGTGGAGGTGGTAGATAACGTTTTCATCCCTCAGCTCACAGAGAGCCAAGAAGCAGGGCCGGCTCTAGGATTTTTGCCGCCCAAAGCAAAAACAATTTTGGCCGTCCGTCCCCCCCCCGGTTCTTTAATTACCCCACCCCCGGCCCCGCCTCAACACCGCCCCTTCCCCAAATCCCCCAGCCCCTGCCTCCTCCCCCCCAGGCTCTCAAGCCTAGGAGAGAGGGGGTGAAGCAGTGCCCGCGCCGCAGCCGCTCGGAGTCTCCCCCCATCCCAGGTTTGAGAGCCTGGGAGGGAGGGATGGATGGAGGGAGAGACTCCGAGTGGCCGCGGCATGGGCGCTGCTTCTCCCCCTCCCTCCCAGGCTCCCAAGCCTGGGAGGGACGGGGAGCAGCGGCGCGCGAAACGGCCGCTCGGGATCTCCCGCTCCCTCCCAGGTTTGAGAGCCTGGGAGGAAGGGGGAGACCCCGAGCCGCCACGGCGCACGAATCAGGTGTTTCGCGCGCCGTGGCAGCAGCAGCGGAGGTGAGCTAGGGCGGCCGGGGCACATTTTTAGGAGCGGCATTCTGGCGCCAGCTTG